GGACGACGACGACGACGACGGACAATCACTCATATGATAAGCTCCGCTCGACAAAGTCGACAGCGGAGCTAAATATGCTTGTGAAAAGTCTGTTTCATTTCATAATAATCATGATTGGTACGGCAGTTTCGTTCGTGCTTTAAATGAGAAAACTCGCATTTATTTCAGAGTGCATGGCGAACGTACACAACTTTCTATTTTGTCATTTACTCAGGATGAACTCTGATGTTGCAATACTAAAGTAATCGATATTTCTTTGAGTATCCCGGTAGTAGCTTTCGAAAAGCCAAAAATGTGATCATTAAATCATGTACCTGGTTATTGGACATGGTTTACTATGGTGACTATCATGAAAGGGGTGCACCTACACATGAATGCAAATACATTTTATTTAATCATTTTGCTTAAATTGTACTCCTGGGCAATATAAAGATATTAAAAATTTGGGGGTCACCAGACTAATCCCAAAGTACTGTTTACTGAGAGTTTTCGATCATTGTTTTCACCGTGATGGTTGCCAGCTAGTGAAAATGCCTGAATGTCTGCCTCCGAGAATATATGTTTGCATAAAGATATAACATTCAAACGTGCACACAATTTTCCAAAAGTTTCAGTGAAGAAATCACCTTTTCAAGTTTTGTTAACATTTTCATAGACACCAGAACAGCTCTGGATCTTCTCATGACCTCTTTTTCATCATTCACTGGCGGTTCTAACTTCATTAGATATGTAACAATTGACTTGTATACATGCAATATTCTGTTGAAGAACCGTGGTTGAAGGCGACCCCACCAACGGCCTGAAACAAGTTATAAGACAAAAGGTGGTTATGTAAATGATGTAGTTATCTGTTTGAACCTTTTAACCACAGTCAGCTGGCGCACACGTGATAATAAAATAAATACAATATTTACTATATGGTGGCTGCCATGCATCTTGAATGCACCATAAAACTAAATAGAACAAATTGTGAAACACGTTTTTCAGATTCCTACAAATCAGGACAAAAATACCAATCTTTCACAGAAATATGATCCATTGGGATAATATTAAGCCAGCCGATAACAAAATTCGACCGAATTCGTTGTTATTGTGTGGAAAAATCCCTTAAATACGAACACCTAATTACACAAAGAATATAGAACAATGTCCTGATGTACTTGAAACCAAAAATTGTCATACTAACTGCAAAGACTCCCATTGTGTACTTCGCACATGGGAGTCAAAAAGTCACAACCCAGAAGAAGTCAGCAGAGTTAGCGTGGGTGGGTACAAACAGCTAGAAGAGTTTTTAAGACAGTTAAAAAACCTGGAATCTCAGTTGAAAAAGATGATGTTTCAGAGAAAATGGGCTGAAATAGAGATAGTATGTGTGTGTTTCACAAAGTTAATATGACTGACTGACGTTTTTCACCTCCCAAAATACCTGCAATAATATGAAAGTATTACACTATAGTCAAAGATAATTTGCATGCTTGTTATTCTTGCTTAGACAGAATAGTGTACAAATTTTCAGAGGCTTGTACGAGCTATTTGAAAGATGATGGCAGTTTTATTGATGTTCAGTGTACTGCGACTCTGCGTGTTTGGAACTTTCAAAATCTGTGCTACCTTCCGGTTTGTTGACCCCAGGTCACATGACATGCGCAAGCACACAAACGTTGAACGTGCAAATGCTATCAATTCGGGAGTACAAGACAGATGATAGACAAAACTGTGAGTTGTGTTAACAATATTAATAATAGTATCATTGGGTTTTACACATAGGTAGTAAATTGTATACAAACCATTTCAGCTCATTTTAGGTAAAAAATGAAACATGAAATCAGATATTAACAAGCTAGATGAGTAAGAGACATACTCACCAATAACTTTTGAAGCACCAGGCACCAAAGATAGAAACATTTTTGAAAAAGGCATGGTAACCGAGTCTAAATAATCAATATTGGTGAATATAGGTGCTTCCATTATAATAAGATAGAATCTAAGAGCCTCTATGTCAGGTGGTGATGATGATAAACTCTGCAAAAGTGTGTTCTTCAGTGTGCAGCATATCTGAAAGATATTTAACATTACAGTTTAGTCTCAATAGTACAAGATTTTAATGGAATTAGAAAAGATAAAACTAGTGTGTACTGAGTGAAGCAAGTTGCACTTACAATAAAAAACATTTCAACTCAAACTGCCCCAAAATTTATTTCAACAACTATTATAAATATCTGTTTTAGTTTCGGTTCACTTGATATGTTTATCTGAATCAAATGTCTTTACCAATAATTAATCCCATTATGTAATGCTTTAATAATGATATCATTAATGATTATAAATGGCAGTAACTATCTACACATACATTGAGCTCAACTTTATAACCAATTTGTTCATTTTTCACAGGAAATTTTATAATATAATACAATACAATACTAATAATTGAAAAGATGATGCATTATAGAGTATAGAGTATTCAGCACATGGGGTCACACACAGCTGCATCCCAGTCACTCATTGCTGCTTATGGGTCACTCATTACTGCACCTGGGTCACTCATTGCTGCTTATGGGTCACTCATTGCTGCACCCCAGTCACTCATTGCTGCTTATGGGTTACTCATTGCTACACCTGGGTCACTCATTGCTACACCTGGGTTATTCATTGCAGCACCTGGGTCACTCATTGCTGCACCTGGGTCACTCATTGCTACACCTGGGTCACTCATTGCAACACCTGGGTCACTCATTGTTACAGCTGGGTCACTCTTTGCTGCACCCCAGTCACTCATTGCTGCTTATGGGTCACTCATTGCTACACCTGGGTCACTCATTGCTACACCTGGGTCACTCATTGTTGCACCTGGGTCACTCATTGCTGCTTATGGGTCACTCATTGTTGCACCTGGGTCACTCATTGCTGCTTATGGGTCACTCATTGCAGCACCCCAGTCACTCATTGCTACACCTGGGTCACTCATTGCTACACCTGGGTCACTCATTGCTACACCTGGGTTATTCATTGCTGCACCTGGGTCACTCATTGCTGCATCTGAGTCACTCATTGCTACACCTGGGTCACTCATTGCTACACCTGGGTCACTCATTGCTACACCTGGGTCACTCATTGCTACACCTGGCTCACTCATTTCCACACCTGAGTCACTTATTTCTACACCTGGGTCACTCATTGCTAAATGTGGGTCACTCATTTCTACACCCGGGTCACTCATTTCTATACCTAGGTCATTCATTTCTACACCTGGGTCACTCATTTCTACACCTGGTTCACTCATTGCTGCTCCTGGGTCACTCATTGCTGCTCCTGGGTCACTCATTGCCACACCTGGGTCACTCATTGCTGCTCCCGGGTCACTCATTGTTGCTCTTGGGTCACTCATTGCCACATCTGGGTCACTCATTGCTGCTCCTGGGTCACTCATTGCTGCTTCTGGGTCACTCATTGCTGCTTCTGGGTCACTCATTTCTACACTTGGGTCACTCATTTCTACACCTGGATCACTTATTGCTGCTCCTGGGTCACTCATTGCCACACCTGGGTCACTCATTGCTACACCTGGGTCACTCATTGCTGCTCCTGGGTCACTCATTTCCACACCTGAGTCACTTATTTCTACACCTGGGTCACTCATTTCTACACCTGGGTCACTCATTTCCACACCTGAATCACTTATTTCTACACCTGGGTCACTCATTTATACACTTGGGTCACTCATTTCTACACCTGGGTCACTTATTGCTGCTCCTGGGTCACTCATTTCCACACCTGAGTCACTTATTTCTACACCTGGGTCACTCATTTCCACACCTGAGTCACTTATTTCTACACCTGGGTCACTCATTTCTACACCTGGGTCACTCATTTCTACACCTGGGTCACTCATTTCTACACCTGGGTCACTCATTTCTACACCTGGGTCACTCATTTCCACACCTGAGTCACTTATTTCTACACCCGGGTCACTCATTTATACACTTGGGTCACTCATTTCTACACCTGGGTCACTCATTTCTACACCTAGGTCACTCATTTCTACACCTGGGTCATTCATTTCTACACCTGGGTCACTCATTGAAGCTCCTGGGTCACTCATTGCCACATCTGGGTCACTCATTGCTGCTCTTGGGTCACTCATTTCCACACCGGAGTCACTTATTTTTACACCTGGGTCACTCATTGCTAAACGTGGGTCACTCATTTCTATACCTGGGTCACTCATTGCCACACCTGGGTCACTTATTTATACACTTGGGTCACTCATTTATACACCTGGGTCACTCATTTCTACACCTGGGTCACTCATTTCTACAACTGGGTCATTCATTTCTACACCTGGGTCACTCATTTCTACACTTGGGTCATTCAATTCTACACCTGGGTCACTCATTGAAGCTCCTGGGTCACTCATTGCCACATCTGGGTCACTCATTGCTGCTCCTGGGTCACTCATTTCTATACCTGGGTCACTCATTGCTACACCTGGGTCACTCATTTACACACCTGGGTCACTCATTTCCACACCTGGGTCACTCATTGCTATACTGGTGTTATTCACTGCACTCAATATTTGCATTTGATGTGATAAAAAAGTATATACCATATGTTTTATATTACATGTACATTTCCAATAGAAGCACATATAAACAAAAATCATATTAGTTTTATTATAAATCATTAATAAAAAAATATTTACTTATTTTGACTATTTATGTAAGCGTATACACTACAGCAAATATGGTAGAAAGATTATAGTAATTATATGACAAAGTATTTAAAATGAATAACACTTATTCTAGCAGACTTACTTGATATCAAACTTTTTGTAGGATGTTTTGAACTGAATTAACTAGTGTCAAATACTTTATTTTTGCTTGGAATTAATTTTTGTTTTTGTTTTTGCTGAAGGAATGACACAGTAAAGAATAATATCCAGTGAATATACATTTTTTCCTATATTTTACATTCAACTTTTCAAAAATCAGTGAAAATAAAAAACACCCAAAAAGTCCTTTCAGCGAAAATTAATTCCAGCTAAAATAAAATATTGTACAGTAACTAAAGTGGTCTAAAGTGATATGCTACATGTATCTAAACTAAAAACCAGGTTTTTTTTCTGTTCTGATGACAACAAGGCTTATATTGTTTCTCAGATACATGTAAATATCATTGGAAATAGTGTGATCAGTTTTAGAGATAGATAACTATTAAACTTACAAGCTGCATAACACGAGGATGTATATTATCTGACAGCATCTGAAAAGCCTCTCTAACAGCATCCATATTTACACCATGGTTGGAAGAACTGCTACCAAAGTGTTCGTCATCTGAACTGCAAAGATAATGATCACTGTATGACCAAAAAAAAAAAAGACGAAAAAAACAAAAAACAAAGAAAAAACAAAAAAATGAGTTGAAATGTATGAGTATGGAAATTGATTACAATATTACAGCAAAGCATTAGAAACATTAAGCAGGAGTTAACAAGGGGACCATGTACTTTATCATTTACTT